GTTTCTGTTTGCTCATTTTTCATTCACTCTAATTCTAGAAGAATTTCTCAATTTTCCTGAGCTTGGGTTTAAGGCTACAGATTGTTCTCATCTATGACTCTGATGATAGGCCTATGATTTATATGTGTGTGCATTCAAACTAATTCATTACCTTAAGCATCGTAATTGGTCACAGATGAACAGGTGACCCAAGTAAGAGCAGTAAGACCTTAGATAGTACTTTGCTTGAATAATTGGAAAAGAGCTGGCTGTACTTTCCTCTTGACTGCTTTTTTAAAAAAATCTTTTTTTAATGTTTAATTTTTTTTGAGAGAGAGAGAGAGACAGAGCATGAGTTGGGCAGGGGCAGAAGGAGACACAGAATCCAAAGCAGGCTCCAGGCTCTTAGTGGTCAGCACAAAACCTGAAGCAGAGCTCGAACCCATGGACCATGAGATCATGATCTGAGCCAAAGTCAGATGTTTAACTGATTGAGCTACCCAGGTGCCCCATTTCCCTTTGACTGTTAAGGTAGTAAGCTAAAGCCCAATCCTTCTAAAGGTCATCTTGCCACCATATGAAAGAGCTTTCATTAAAACACAAATAGAAAAAGCAGACTGAGTCCAAATGACATCTGAGTCCATGGATCCAAGCATGCCTGAGGTCCAGACATCCTTCTAAGTAACGTTTAAAATATTCATCTGCTGTTTATCACACATGCATTAAGAATGCTGGCTCTTTCAGAGTATCTTTTGGGTTAAGTCAAACTATATTTCAATTCTTCCTTTCCATCGGATACTTTTTAAAGAATAAAGTATTTTTAAACATCAGACACTAAAATATAATCGTGGAGAATGCCATATTATAGGATTTAATGAACACAAAAAAGGAAAAGAAAAAAACAGTGATATCATAAACTGCCCTTTCTTTGAACTCCTATTTGTTATCCTAAGGAGGAAAATGTTTCAAGGGTGAACAGCATAGTAATTAACAGTAAGGCTCTGAAGCAAGATACCTGGAATTTAAATGCCACCTATACCACTTACTATTTATGTAGCCTTAGGAAAGTTACTCTGTGCCTCGGTTTTCTCATTTATAAAACTGGGGCAAATCTTGTGGGGTTACTGTAAGAATCAAATGAGATGATATGTAATGTACTTAAAACAATGCCAGACATATTATGAGTACTCAATAAATGCCAGTACCAGGTCATTAGTTATAATTATAACTATAATTATTGTTTACTTAGTTATTATATATACTACAATGGTGATGTGCAGAGATACAAACAGTGTCCCTTCCTAAATCTCTCCTAACTGGAATAATTTCTCTTGCATATTTATTTCCTTTCCAAATCCTCTGTCCATCAAAGCAGGCAACTTCTGATGAGTCACTTAATCTCACGCCTTTGATATTTATTGGATACTACCATGTTAAAGTTCTGCCTAAAAACTGGATATGCAACAGCAAGTGGAAAACAATTCAGATGTAATTGTTCTTCTCATGGAATGTACATTTTAGAAATAGCACAAAAAATCAAAATCATCCTTATATATAAATAGGAAAAGTCTTATGCAGAAGAAACACAAAATTCTGACCTCAATATGTGAGAACGTATTTTGGGGTATCTGCTCTAGGTCTAGAGAGTCAAAAAAGCTTTCTTGAAAAAGTTATTTTTTTCAGCTGAGTCCTTCACAAGAGGAAAAAAAAGGAACAACACACTGATCTAGGAAGTACCTTGTGGGAATGACTAGATTTGGGGAGAACGGTGGCAGGCTGAACACTGAGAGGCCTATTCTGAAGCACAGACAACAAATGAAAGCAGGGCAAAAGAGGAGATGGGTAATGCAGGAGAAAACAGTCATATAGGAGATTTAGAGCATATAAATGAGGTTTTGATTTTGTTACTTTTTAATATAGTAATAGAAAGTGGAATCAACTGAAGGGTCATTTTTTTTTTTTTCAAATTAGAAGCAATCACTCTGGCAGACTGTAACTAAAAAGGAGAACACAGGAAAAAATTGAAGTGGAGAAAACAGAAGCAAATCGATTTCAATAGTTTTGGTAAAATAAAAGTGAAGAGAAGTAAATGGATATGACGCATATTTAGAAGGGAAAATAGAAGTGCATGGATTAATGATATAAGTTAGAAGCTACTAACTTTGACAATTGATGTGTTATGGAAACAGGCAGAGGAGAAAAAAAAAGAATGTTTCAAGGATTCTTACAGGCATCTGAGTTTTTACAACTAGCTGAATAGTGTTACCACTCACTGTGATAGGATTTAAAAAAGGAAGAACTTCCCATTCTGTGAGGAAGTGTTGGGAGCCATTCTGAACTCACTAGTTGAGAAACTCCTTATGAGTTTACAGTCAGTTTGCAAGGCTCTTGCCTTCAGATGACGACCAATACCCAGCCCCACTCAATTGTTTTTCTTGAGCACCAACCCCCAAGGCACCTTGTTGATTTATTGGGAGTGACTTATTCTGGCCCTGGTATGCTGATTGCACCTTGTGAATGAAATTATTGTAGCTTGGAAAAACGCTGATGCTTAGTAATCTGGAAATAGTGATCAGGACTGAGTAATTGATGACATAAAAAAGATTAGATATTGCTTTCAGGTTTACATTAATAAAATAATAACTTTGGTACAGACTGATGTACTATTCCTGGGCATGGATGATGTTATACGAACTAGAAGCCCTGTGGCTAATGTTTAGATGTTTTCTTTTGTGGTTATGAGAGCAAACATTGTGTTTCCTGAAAAACCTATTTTTCTTAATACTTCCCATTAAGTGATAAACAGGCTATTGACCCCTGCTCACAAAGAACTAACTTTTGCCTTTACTGTGCTAAAACCATTATCCTGTTTGTATCTGAATGCTAAAGATATCTTCCTTTCTCATATGATGAGCATGAATACCCTTATCTAAATCATAATAATAAAGTTATGCATATCAATGTTCTGGAAAGTTTTTACTGATCAAAAAATTTATCATTAGAATGCCACTTCTATGCTGTGCCCCAAATACTTAATCATAAAATAAAGTTGAGTCTCTGACAGTGAGGAGATGCCTGGCTGGTGACCAGAAAGAATTTCGGGGCTCTCTCATCCCTCTCTCACTGACACCGTCCATCCTTCAGAGACCCCTGGACCGGCTAGATCTGGACTCTGGCAAGAAACAATGATAAATAATGGCAACGGAAGGCTGATTTTGCAATGATCAGAAACAAAACAAAAGAAATTCCTTTTCAGGACACCACAAAAATTCTTGAAAATAAATTGCTTAAACTTTAAAAAAGTAAAGCAGGAACAGCATATTCAAGACAAAGAAACTAGAAGAGAAAAAATAATCACACAAGAACAGAAATCAATGAAATCAAATGCATATGTACAATAGAAAAACAGATCCAAAAATAAGTTCTTTGAAATGAATAAGGAAATTGGTAGGTCTGACTCCTAGCAAAACTGATCAAAATAGTAAGAAAGAAAATATAGATTATCAATGTCAGGAATAAAAATGTGACATAACTTACACTTTTAATCATAAACAAGATTAAATATGTTGATTAAAAAGAATTAAATAAATTTGATTCTTTTGATAAAAATGAGAAATGCAAAATATTATCTCTGACACAGAATTAAATAGATGCTCTCAACAGCCCTAGATCTATTAAAGAAACGAATATATAAATTGAATTTTTCCCAAAAAGGAAACTCTAGGACCAGTTGGCTGCCATAGTGAATTCTTTCGTATCTTTCAGGAAGAAATAAAATTGTATTACACAAAATGTTTCAGAAAATAGAGAAAATTTTCCAATTCATTTTATAAGATTACCATAACACTGACTCCAAATAGTACTAGCACATTACAAAAAAGGAAAATTCTAAACCAATATCTCACAGAAACATAAAAGCAAAAATCATAAACAAAATATATTTTTTAAAGAATACATTTAAAAAAGATAATAGAATATGATCTAGTGGAGCTATTCTAAGAATGCTGTTACTCTGAAATATGAAAATTAAGCACCGTAGAACTGCAACCTAAAAGGTAGAGAAGAGACTGAGAATTAACAGCCTGAAAAGTAGAAACAATATACAAGAGAGTATGATGTCATAGATCTGAAGGACAGAGAGTGTTTCAAGGAGAGCAAGATCTTTATCATATTTCTGCCCTGCCACAAACTGAGTTTAGGCCTGCCTGTACAAGTCATCCACTACTGTATAACAAACCACCACGAAAATCTCTATGTTATACAACAGAAAGTATTTCTTTTGGCTATTCATTAGTCATTTAGGATTCCGTTAATATAGTCTAGACTCAACTGGATAGCTGTAAACTGAAGGTTAGATGTCATTCAGCTTCACAAATCTCTCATCCTCCCTGAGAATGTTTTCCTCACATCCACAGCAGAGACACAACAGCACAAATAAATATGTGATGTCTCTTAAAACCCTGGTGTTGGAAATGGCACAGTATCACTTCTGCCCACTTTCTACTAGCCAAAGAAAAGCACATGAACAGGCCCAGAATCTAGAGATGAGGTGTATTTCCACTGGAAGTTTACTTCAAGGTCAAATAACAAACAACAGTTCTGAAGATAGAGAGTGGTGATAGTTGCACAACAATATGGATGCACTTAATGCCACTAAACTATATACCTCAAAATGGTCAAAATGTTCAATTAAAAAAATTTAATGTTTATTTATTTTTGAGAGAGACAGAGAAGCACAGAACAAGTGGGGGTGAGGCAGAAAGAGATGGAGATACAGACTCTGAAGCAGGCTCCAGGTTCTGAGCTGTCAGCACAGAGCCCAATGTGGGGCTCAAACTCTTGAACCATGAGATCACGATCTGAGCCAAAGTCAGATGCTTAACTGACTGAGCCATCCAGCCACCCAAAAATGTTCAGTTTTATGTTATGTGTATTATATTGTACATACAAAAATTATCAGTTTTGTCTACAGTGTGAAATGGTTTACAACTATTTAAACTTATGACGAAACATATTTTTACCTGTGTGGGCAGGTAGATGGTTTTTCAAAATTCCTTTGGGGGAAGGAGTATCTAAGCACAAAAGAGAAGAAGTCAGTGGATTAGACCATGGAGAACCTTGAGCTCAAGTCCTGAGAGTCCTGAGTCAGTTGATTAAATCACAGAGAGCCTTGAGCCCAAGTCCTGGATCCAAATTCCATTTGGAAACTGTAAAGCAAACCATGTATTCCAACATCTTCCAACTCATCACACACTTTTTATTATTAACAGTCGCTCTATGTCATCATGGCCCCTCTTTGCATTACCATAAGACCTCTAGGGTCATCACAATGCCTCTGAGTCCTCTTACATCATCTCAAGTACCTCCATCATCATCATGGTGCTTCTTGCTTCAAAACGGCAACTCTGAATGCAAGTGCTACATCTTTCCAGACTCCTTGAGAATCTGATAAGAAGCTGGGCTTGCTTTCCCAGAAAAAGCATACAGCATTTGGCATTAAGTTCTGAGTGACTGAACAGGCTGAAATTAAGAACAGGCACATTGAAGCAGCTGAAATAGTCCTAAGAACAGTCCAGGAGATGGAAGGGACCAAAAGAAGTCTGAGCAACTACCTATGCCCTGAATGCACAGGTTCAGCATGGTCACCCAAGCCCACAGGTCCACCTTATGACAAGGCTGAGTGTTGATTTTTGTAGGCCCTAGGCATATTTCCTTTTCAAGTCTACTTCCTCCATATAAAAATTATATTTTATACTGAATTGTTACAAAGATGATTATATTACTACTATCTATTAAAATATTTTCTTCAACCTAAAAAATAAAATACTAAAAGGGATGGATGTTGGAAAAGGCAAGAAATTAGGCCAATAACTCAATTTACCAAAAGTCTCCATTTTCTGGGTGCCCATGTTAGTGTCTTCTAATGCAAGATCACATACAGAGTCTTTTAATTATACCACCCTATCTAAAATTCCACAAAGTGCCTCCAATATTCACAGATAAATTTTGAGAAATTCATTATGCAGCAGTCACCATACAATGTGCTACACTAGTATACCATTATGAACATGGTTAATTGGATCAGTGATAGATCCCGTCACAAAAAGAGCATACAGAGTTAAATCTAGAGATCCAAGAGGCTGAGTGACAGCTCTAAGTGAAGTACCTTACACTGGATAATGAATAATGAATCTTTATTATTTTTGACAGTTTGAATTTGAGATGGAAAGAGGGCCTGAGTGGACCATTAGACTTCTTACTAGATCTTCAGACCTACTCTCAACAAAAAGTAACTTGTATTGCAGTGGGAGCAGCAGTGAATGATACGTCAATTCTCCATGTGGCCTCTGTTGTTAATGAGAATCTTTCCTGTCCTTAGATATATCTCTTAACCTACTTCCTTGTTTCTAGTATCATACTTTTCCTATCTACCTTCCAAGTTTTCAACAGATTAATTTATTTTAAATCAAATATTTCATCACTCACAGAACAAATTATATGCTCTTAGTAATTTCAGAATTTTTAAACACAAGGAACTTCTGATCATAATGAAGCTTAAAACTTTGTCTGAAATATGTGAAGAACATGATGTGATTCTATGAAATATCTGTGCTTTCTAAACTTGAAAATCAAGACAAAATTCTGTCAAGTTCAATAATCTATTATAGACTTCAGTATCCAATGGATACTTAAGCAGTGACAATCTTAATCAAACCTTCCTGTTCTATTTGTATATGTATAGCAAATTATATGGAAGAATTCTCTCCATACCTAAAAGTTATTACACCCAGAGGTGAGAGAGATTTAGGAAAGTACTGCATTTTTCCCATATTATCCAATTGCAATTTTTTAAAAATTCATGCTTTATTTTTTATGATAAAATAAAGTCTTTTTACTAGTCCACATGTTCAGAATTCTGATTCATAAAAATTGGGAGAAACACTGTCCCAAAGCCTGTCCTTACAGTGAACTTACCTTGAAAGTGAGAAAACAAAGGAAAAGAAGAAACCAAAGAAGAACAGTGTGAATAAATTTGGGGAATATAAAAATATTTAAAAAGATCATTTATCATTATTATTCTTGATGTGTTTTCTCTGATGAAGTTAAAAGTTAACTTCCCCATTGAATATGGTCACATAATACATCATTTTAAAAGGTCATGAGATAGTTCTACTTCAATCTGAGCCCACCATGTATTCATCTTGAGCATGTTAAAAAATAAACTTTAAAAATTTAAATTTAAAATATATCATAGAAGATAAATTTGTACTAGGACAATCAAAAGCAAAATATTATAGTACTGACAGAGCATTAAAGGAAAGTAAAATTGTTCTGTGATGATAAAGTTACCCTACCTATCAGAAAGTCAACATTTTTCCAGTATAATTAAATGATGTTCCTTTCAGAAGTATCTGCTATAGTAAGCTGGCATAAAAACTATTATATCAAAGTGTATATGTGCAGAAACTTTTTCAAGATGTACTAGCCCTTATAAGGTTGACATTCTCTTAAGGTTTCATAAGACTTATGAATAATTCATTGGTTTTGTATTCACACATTTTTATTACTCATATAAACTTATTTATTTATTTTACCTATTACTTTGATAATGATAATAAATAGGCCTATTTAGAGAAAAATCCTTATGAAAATTTGAAATGGGTCAATGCATTCACACTTCTAATGGTGTCATTTAAATTTCCAAGACATGATCCAACCTTTGCAATGAAACAGAGTAGCTCTGTCTGCCGTGTTGCAAGTCAAAGCAGTTATCAGCTGCACTGTCTTAACTCTATTCTGTTTGCAAGTGGTGGTAAATGGAATGTTTTTCTAACTCAAGTATCCTTTATATAATTTCCAAGTTTTTCCCCAAAAGTAATCCAAACCTGCTCTGTTAGTCCAAATTTCTTATCAGGGCATTCCAGACTCTTCATAATCAGGCATAAAACGTTCCAGGCACAATTCATATCACTCCCAATTATGAATCTTTTATTTCAGCCCTCTCAAATCTCTTACCACTAAACAAAATGTCAAAAATGCCACATTTCCAACTTTCTCCTTCTTACTGAAATTGCCTCTTAAGTTGTCAAAATTACCTCTTAGCTCTCATGTTTTATATTCAAATATTCCATTTGGGAGGAGCCTTCCCAAAATACTATCTAGCATAACTCCCTGCTTAGTGTTTCCACTGTGAGACCATTAGCTGTGGGACTATCATGCATGGTAGTAAAGTTTGTACACTGCATAAAAGTACCCAGGGGAGAGAATCACAATATAAATCCAACCAGTACTTCACTTGCCCAGCCCATGTCCTATCATAGGAATGCATTTTCTAGGAGGAAAAATAAATAAATAAAGTAGGGTGGAAGGAGGATACCTTTTTTTTTTTATTTTAAACCCACTCATCAATTTTCTGAACCATCCAGTGATATGACTATCTTTGCCTAGAGGGAAAGCTTGTTCTAAGGTATACATCTTAGAAGAAATGGGTTTCCTTCTTCTAATTCACACAAAATTGCTATATTGGTTAGCTGCATATCTTGTTGGCTATTACATCTCTTAGTTATTGCATATACATTTTTCTTGGGAAAATTATTAGCTGAGAACAAATTATGTACTTATTGATCTTTGCATAAGTAGTTGCCCAGTAACTACCCTAGAGTCTGGCACATAGAAGACAATAAGTGCTATGTAGTCAATGAATTATCCCTTTAGAGGACAAAACTGGGGAGAAAATTGTATCAGATTTAAGATCCAGGATGAAACCCTGCCACCAGCATTTTCAGCATACTTATTTGGTTGTGATTTGAAGTTACTTACCACTTTTTTTTCAAAGCATTGTATCAATTCATAGTAATGATTAGGATGCCTTTAAATTCAGAAAATATCTACTCTAAAATAAAATTGATTTGTTTTAATTCTGTCTACATAATTCATTGGGATAAAGTTTCCTTATTAGTTTCTTCACAAGGAAGACAAATGCCTCATTAATTTTAAACATATCAATCTGAGAATGCTATAAACACATCACATAGAGTAATGACTGACATTATAAGGAAAACAATACACTGCATACCAAAATCAAACTACCCATTATTCACTCAGAACAAATACACACTTTTATCCATACTTTATAAGCATCATGAAAAGAAATCCAAGTAGATACTTAAACTATACGTGGGCTAGATGATGGAGAGACTACCATTCCATCATTAGCAGTAACTTCCTATGAAATGCATATTATATATGTAAAGATCTCCCATGTGAAAATACTCTTTTACATTCAGAAATCACTTAACAAAGACACATCTTTTTTAAACAACTCTCAGTTGAGTCAAGAGCATCAACTATAATAGAAACAAAAAATGTTATTTAGTTCAGTTTCATGTGCTGCTCTTTTATCCAATTATTTAAAAAATACGCATTACTCTCTTAAATCAATAAAATTAACACTTTTACTTGTCTGCCCAATAAATCTAAAAGTTGGATAACTTCCTGAGTGAAGAGAGGGGTTATGGCAAAGTTCTATTTCCTAGCCATTCTGGGCCATTATAAACTTCTCTTAATGGCATATTTTCTTTACAAGTGCTTTTACAAAGATGTTCCTTTTTTCACAATCTTGCCATGGCTTACCTATCTCACTCAGAACAAAATCTGAAGCTCTTACCATAGACTACCAGGCCTTAAACACCTTGTACGCTCCTGCTGAAGGACCCTTCCACACTGTGTCTTCAGCTTTGAAAGCTGTGCTTCCAGCTGTCCCAGTGCCCCCCGCCTTCACTTCATTCAGATGTCTGTATAAATGTGTGCTTTTCAGAGATGTCTGCCAATCACTCTCTCTTCTTTCTCTGTTACTTTTCTTTATGCCACTTATCAGAATCTGATGTTATGTCAACTTGTGTATCAGACAATTCCTTCCACCAGAATATAAGCCCTAAGTGCACAGACTGTATGTGCTCACTGTTTATTTATATTGCCATCATTTATAACAATGCCTACCATAAGGAGCTTAACAAAATTTTATTAAGGAAATGAAATAATATCACTGTCAATCATGTATATCGAATCCACCTG